GCACTTCAAGGATTTTGAAATTGTGGAAGCATATGAACTTAATTTATGTACTGAAAAAACTATGTTTCTAAACTCAACGTATTTAACATTTTTCAGTATTTTTCCACGACTTTCCAAGAAAAGACTTGAAGAAAATTTGCCTACCTTCAACTCATCCCATGCTGTTTCACTTCTGTTACAGAGTACCAGGCTGCAGATAACTGTGTCCTCAGGAATTAGATGTAGAAAATGCTTTGAAGCAAAATTCTCAATGCACAAATCTTTCAAACTGCCGTAACAGCCGGGAGGCAACGAATGTATGGAAGCTATAGGCTGTGAACCTGTCAATTAAAAAAGGAGAAAACAGTATGTGGCACCATCAGAACAGCTTGCTGATGCATTTCATAAAGCATAAACTTTATTTCTCTTGGCTTTTTAACTTATATACATTGTTCAATACCTGGCATTCCAATTCACACAGGAAATCACAGAAACCAACACATCTAGAGTGCAAGACTTGGTGGCAATTTGAGATGAAAAGAAGGGATTGTTTCATTTGCCTTGATTCAGAGTTTGAAAACAGTTGCTGGAATTGGATACCCCTCATGCCACAAGCAGTAATAACACCTGAGGCCTGCACAGAAGACCTACTTGCCTTGAAAAATGGTTTTTGGACCAGAAAAGAGCAACTCCTGCTCGGCAGCTAAGGTAGAGGGAAAGAAGAGACTCCTTCCTCTGCGATGACACCAGCCCAGGTGACACTCTCCTTACAGTGACAACTCCAGGACAATGGTTTAGGCAGAGAAGTTACCTGTCACACAGCCCAGGGGCTCCATCAGAGACAGCCCAGCCCTGTCCACAGCCACGACAGCATGCTCCTTCAGGTACTGCTTCAAGGACGGATGCATCACCTTCTGGCACACCACAAGGCCCACCTCATCCTTAACCAGCTGCTTCCCCACATTAAGCAACTGATTCAGCTCTGACACTTCCAGAGAAACTCCGTGACGGACCGCTATGGTTCCTTCCTCAGGGTTAGAGCCATCACCTGCCATGGACACACTGAAAAGAGCAGTCTTGATCATGTTTGAACCAGTCCTTTTGACAGCAAGTGGTTTTCCCAACTGGATTTCTGGTGCTTCTATAAGCAGTCCAGGAAGAACTGTAGAATCCACAACTCTTCTACCTTTCACAGGTATCACCACGCACTTCCCTAAAACAGCATTAGCCTCAACGTGACATGGAACAGTAAATATAAAAGCCTTTAAAACCAGTGAGGTGAGATGATCAACTTCAGTTTTATTAAGCATGCAAGCAGGTTTGCTTGTTAAAATGCTCCGAACCAAGCAAACAAGGGTCTCAACACTGCTAAAATCCACAGACACCCGGCAAGCACAGGCCTCAGATTTCAGGTGGCCCATGCACAGACCCAGAAGATGCTTGCTTACTTTAATGACAGTAGAAGGTGCAACATTCAGGCTCCCGAAATTTTCGATGAAGCCACAGCAAAGGATGGCAGTGAATAAGCCACAGTCACTGAAACGCGACACGTGGTTCCGCACAGAGGCCGTCAGGACACGCAGCACGGGCTGCCTGATGGAAAGGTGCGCCAGGAGGGTTGAGGATTGGGAAGTGGTACAAACACAGCCCCCCACACCATTGTGGAGCTGTTTGAGTCGACCAGCAGGACCGTAGGAAGATTTTAATATCCCACTCAGCAGAGACAGTGACTGACTCACTGCATCTCTAGTTAGTGGCTCACTAATAAATAATGGAGGCTTTTTAGCTTCAAGGCGAGACATTTTGAAGGTAAGATTTTAATTCTAGCCAAAAAAACATTTCATTTTTTTACCTGGATCTATAATTCATTGCACTTTTAAATTTTAAGAGTAGTACATTTTAATTCTTTGCAGGTAAGGATTATTATTTTCAGTGTGAAACAGTATATAACACTCATGAAACTACTCATCACAGCTCTCCTAAAACGAGGCTTAAATCATGTAGCAAAACAGACAAATAGTCACAGCAGGAATCTATTTCATTCCAAGCGATCTCGTTTAGCTTCTGAATGAGATTGAGCAGACTTTTTTGCAACAAAGTTTACAAGCATGCTTCCTATATGGACACCTATAAGTGACAGTCCTGCTACAAGCAGAAAGTTCTTTCTACTCCAGGTAGTTTTCTTCATTTTTTTCTGGCAACAGTCACAGATGAAAACCTTCAAGCTTAATTATACCTACAATAAAAACCAGAAAGATATTAGAATAATTGTTGGAAAACCAAGTCAGAGTTCTAACAAATAAGCTTATGAAAATATTGTATAGCTTGACCTATTTTAGTTTTCACCAGAAAAAGTCACAGAAGAACACAGACTGCAAAAAAAAAACCTCTTTGAAGTCGAGTCCTGCTGTTACCCCAGCAGTGCCCAGCCACCACTGAACCACATCCCAAAATGCCACATCCATTAAACACCTCCAGGAACGGTGACTCGGCCGCCTCCCTGGGCAGCCTGTGCCAGTGCCCGACAATCCTTCCTGTGAAGACAGTTTTCCTCATATCCAATCTAAACCTCCCCTGGTGCAACCTGAGGCTGTTTCCTCTTGCTACTCGGGAGAAGAGACTGCCCCCACCTGCCTGCAGCCTCCTCCCGGGTGGCTGCAGGAAACAGGAAGGGTGCCCTGAGCCTTCTTTTGCCCAGGCTCCCCCAGCACTCCTGACAGGAGCGCTGCCCTTCTCGGGACTCACTCAGCACCCCGTGTGCTCCCTGAAGGCTGCTGTCCCTCACCAGTGCCGAGCACAGGGGACAATCACTGTCTGCTCCTGCTGGCCTCACCATTTTTGGTCCAGTCAGGATTCCCTTGGCTGCCTGGGCACACGCTGGCTCATGTTCAGCTGCTGTCACCAGCATTCCCAGGAACCTCTCCAGCCACTCTTCCCTGTAACTCAGCATGGGGCTGGGAGCCCAGCACAGGATACAGCACTGGGCCTCGTTGAACCTCCGCTGGCCTATGCATTCTATAATGCTTTTTAACAGATAAAAATCTACTAACCTGATTTTACCACAAACACAGAGAGTGCATCAATTGTACCTGTTCATTATTAACTCCAATTCTGACCACTGGTCTGTATTCTTACCAGCAGGTCTGCAAGCAGCAGGCTACCATCACTTCACTGAAGTATCAAAACTACAGTGATATCCACCTGATTTTAGTCAAGAACAAAAGAACTCAACCAGTCAGCAGCGCTTGCCAGGCAACAGAAACAGCAGCTTTTGATGTTCAAAACTTCAAGAAATCTGGCTCAAAGGTTTCTTACTTCAAGAGGCCCACAAAGGTAGTTTTTCAGTTCTTAAAACAGTAAAATTTAAATCAATGCTTATTTACGTTTCTATGCAAACTCTACAGTATTTACACTTGTACTCTATTTTGTTTCATTCTCTGTTGCCATCACCATTCCTACGAACATGGAATATGTTACTATGTACAGTCACAATTATTTCTGTGCCATTTTAAGCCTGAAAGGACACTGTTATAGATCCAGTCACACAAATTTGATTGCTGTCCAGAAGTTACTGGAGCTTGTTTTAAAATATCTTAAAGACATATAATATCTTCACTTAGTTGATCTCATCATGTGGGATTTAGCAGTATTTTTTGAGATTTATTATGCACTTTTCGGGTCCATGTAGGTGCAATACATTAGCTTAATTGCAAAGTAGAATAAAACTCCAAAAGACTAAAGTTAGAACACCAAGGCTGTATGTTTGAAAATTCTCAATTAATTCATCTTCTTCCTCAAAGACACAGATACAACTAATAAGGCAACTTACCCAAAAGTCAAAGTACTAATGCTATTTCTCTTTACTTTTGCGAGCGCTTTGCATCATGAACATCAGAATTTCACGTTCTGGATCAAAATCCTCTGTCTTCACCTGGAAAACAGGACTGGACTTCAAGTAATACCAGCCCCAGTGCACTAGCCCCAGGCTAGCTCCCATAACAATCAGAACTTTGTTGTCCTTCCAGAAGGTTTTAAGACCCATTGCAAACTGGCATCTACCTAGGTAAAGATAATTTATTATTTTAAACTTACTCTAGAAATCCTTTTTTTCTTACTCTACAATAACAACACTGAACAGATGAAGCTGAATGTTAATACCTTTAATTGCAGTGCAGCAGATGACTAAAACACTAAACAAAAAGTTTTGGTTACTTTGTGAACCAAAATAAAATAACCTTAATTCAGACATTTGAAAATGTTAATTGCTGCATTTGCTTCAAGCTTTGGCATACTAAATCTTAAACACAACAAAGCTTTATCTAATTACAAGCACTACTGCCCAGATAGTAAGCATCTGAAGCCCAAAAGCAGGTTCAAAATCACCTTCCCCCCTGCAGTTAATAAAATTCAATGAGTAGCTGGGCTCCTAAGGCAATGCAGAACTTTGAAACTGCAGGCAAAGCAAGGCTGAAGCTTCTGACACTACTTCACCTTTGTGCAGCTTTGCCTGACCACCTTATAGTATCCAGAAACGGCACCATTACAAAGAGAGCAATAAGTTAATCCTTATGTAATAAGAAACTGGAAGAAAAAACCTACTTTCTATGGGATTTCGCAAGCACACTCATGTTTTATACCAAAACGCCTCACTGGTTTGAGCGGCTACAAAGCTGTAACTCGGAGAGTAAACGCTCCATACACGCGGCCCAACTCCATGGCCTTGACAGGTGTAGCCCGCCCTACCAACCGCCCTGCACCGCCCTAAGGAGCCCTCACAACCCGCTCCTCCTCCTCCTTCCCCGCGACCCAGCGACCTTGAAGCGCGGGCGGCTGAGGGGGCAGCGGTGCCCTCGGGCACAGACCGCGGGCACGGCACACCTGAGGCTTCTCCCAGGTCAGGGAGGGAGGGAGGGAGGGAGGCGCTACCGATGAGCCTTCCCAGGGAGGCGAGCGCTCCCCCACACGTTCAAACGCGCCCCGGCAGGAAGAAGCAGCAGCGCAGGAAGCACGGCCCCGGACGTGCCGTGCCGCACCGCCCCTCGCCGCCCGCCATTAGCCGAGCGCAGCGTCACTCGCGGCGCGGCCCGCCTCAGCCGCTGGCGGCCATTTTGCGTGCGGGCAGCGCGGGGCGGGCGGCGGCGACGGGCGCGGCCATTTTGGGTAGGGCAGAGGAGCGGCGGAAGGCGGGCGCGGCGTAGGGGACTGCACGGCACGGCTGCCTTGGGCCGCCCGGCTCTTGGGGCCGTGCCTGGGGCTCCGGCCCCGCTGTTCTCCTCGGTTAAACCGCTGAGGGGATGCTCGGAGGGCCGGGGCTCTGGCGGCGGTGCCGGTCGGCTCCCACCGAGCATCCCTCAGGCGCCGCGTCACCGCCACCTCAGGCGCTCTGTCCCGTTCCTCACTCCCGCCCAGCCTGGCCAGGCATAAAAATACGCTTATATACCTCTGATTTTTCTTCCTTGCATACCTGCTACTGTAGCCGCTCCGCCTTTCACCTGCGCCCAGCTGTCTGAGGCTTCCTGTGGGCGGGCAGAAGTGCCCCGGGCCAAACTAGTTCAAATAACTTTGTTCCCTGACCTCCGCTTTCCCGTAGCTCTTCTGCTTTCCTGTATTCACTTTTCCTGTATTCACTCCTGTAAGTACAAGAAATACTCCTGTGAATACAGTTATACTTTTCCTGTGTTTTCACTCTTCTCTCCTTCAGTTGCTGTCAGAACGACTTCGTTTTGTATTCATATGTTAATGAATGGGTTTGTTTTCAATTTCGTTTATAGTTGCAGAGTTTATGACTGTAGCCAAAAGACAAGTATTTAATGCCTGATCTCCGTGCAGAAAGGAGTATATTTTTTTTAATTGTGTAGTAATTTTTCGTTGTTAATTGCATTCAGCTCTTCACAAAAGTTAAAGGTTCAAACAGTACCTGTTTGTGGCCCTCTGGGGCTCCTCAGAACCTCTTCTCCCTCTAGATCCAGGCAGTTCTGTGGTGACTGGGTCATGTTTTGGAAACTGACTTGTTGAGCCTTAAAGGTGAATGGGCAGTTTATGAAAGGAGTGCGAGTAACAGCGGCAAGCAGAAAAGGTGCTGACTGGCTGGAAGCGTATTTTTCAAGGGTTAAGTGGCGTATTTGGCAACAGTGGGCATAGAAATCCTGAATGGCAAATGGGAAGACCGTGGTGTGTGTTTTCAGAACTGGGGGTGTGGGTAGCTGAGCATTGTGCTGCTCATCCCCAGCTTAGGATCCGCTCTAGAAACTGACCGGTGCTGGACGGGAAAGCTCAGAAAACTCCTCTTTTATGTTGTGATAGTTCATTTCGTACTGCAAAAATAGTCAATATCAACTTTCCCTGCAGAGTTCCTTAATTAGCATTTGTTTTGTTTCTGTCGTTCTCAGGTGCCCCCTCTCCCCGCCCGGAGATGGGCAGTGGGTGAAGTTTGCTGCTGTGTCTCCGAGTGTCTGTCAGGAGTTCTCAGTTCATCCTCCCTCTGAATTTCCTCACCACAGGAAGCTGCTTTGCTAAGGTAAGATGCTGTTCATCAGCTGACAGAGGACACTTGAGCTTGCTGTCTGGGTCACCGTGTTTTCTGGCTTCTCCTGAATACCCCCCACTCCATTTGACTCAAGTTTAGGGAAGAAAGATATTCTGCTACATTATTTTTAAGTGTGTCACTCTAGCTACAGGCAACGTATGTGTTTGATTCTAAATCATGTCTTCATGCACAGATTGTATTTTAGGTCTTGGAATAATACACATCCCACATCAGGACTTGTTTTTTTAGTAAAAAAAAAAAATATATATATATATATATATATAGTCTTGTGTGGAATTTTTCTGCCATATTTGCTTATTTTCATATGTCCTTATGTGGCATTTACTTTGGAGGTTTGCAACAGAAAAAGCATTCTATGAGACAGAACCTTGCTGTCAAACATTAGCAGTTGTGACAAATCTGTGTTTTTGGTGTTTTTTTTAAACACAGAAAATGGCAAAGTATTTTGGGGTTAGTTGTTTTGAGGCTAGTTGTTTTGTTTTTTTTCCTTGAAGAATTGATGAGTGGTTTTCCTCATCTTCTGATGTCTTAGTATTGAGTATTTTTCACCTGTGTCACTTCAGTGATTTCCCTGATGGTTCTCACATAAAATATTTTCCTTTTTGTTTTCTGTGGATTTGCTTATATTTTGTCTGTCTGCTCCATTTCCTTTGTGTTATCTGTGTGGTCAGTGCAAAGAATGGGGTAGCTGGCAAACTCCCAAAGTCAGCTTACTCCCAGGAAGAGCAAACTGAACCAAAGCTAACTTTTCCTGTGCGTCCTTTTCCTTTTTATGTTTTTCTTCTGTTATTTTGTAAATTGTATGTGGAGGGGATTTCTGCCTGCCAGCAGTTCTCACATGAGTAGTAGCAGACGTGTTGCAATAGTATTTATCTGGAAAGTAAATTGTTTCCAGAAAGAAATCAGTGATGCCAGGGTAAGTTCAGCTGAACTTAGGACATGACTGAACTGAGCCAGGATGTCACAAGTGTTCCAGAGCTCTGTTCTTTGCATTGTGTTTCTCAAAATTGCCATCAGTAGAGTTGTCAGGATCTGATAAAATGGAGAAGTTTCCAGGGCTGTTTGGTGCAAGGGAGAATTCTTTGCATTGTGTTTCTCAAAATTGCCATCAGTAGAGTTGTCAGGATTTAATCGGATAAAATGGAGAAGTTTCCAGGGCTTTTTGGTGCAAGGGAGAATGACAGCGACATGGCACAAGGCGTGATGGTATTCCAGCTTCTGTGTGCAGAACTGTTGGGAATCTTAAGATTAAAATCATCTGTGCTACGCTGTGTAGTTTTAAAGTGGATGTTTATCTTGTTCTGCACTTTTTTTGAAGTTAAATAGCAATAACGACTGCATTTTGGAACATGTAAGCGTAGTGCCTGACAGAAATGCATATCCCCAACGTGATTTGTGTCCTGAAATGTTGACAGCTCTATCACAGTACTTAATAATTTGAAGCATGCAATGAGGAATGTGTATACATTCCTCAATTTTTAATATTTTCACTCAGGATTCCAAATTAAGTGATTTAGGTCGTGTTTGGGATAAGCAAGGGAGGAGGATGTCCCAAGTTCACTTTATTTTTGTGCAACCACCATAACACTTGGGTTATGCTGCTCTATGTGGGTAGTATAAAATTTAAAATATACATAACGTGGATGTATGGATGGATACCAGGTGAGCCAAAAGCTATAGTTTCTTACATGAAAGAGTTCTAACTTTGTATTTCCTGTGTTGGATGCAAAGTGCCTTCAAAGTTATGAGGTTCACTAAAAGAAACCAACACAGGTAGCTAAGTAATTGTCCTTTAAGTAAGAGTTTTCCTTGTTTTTCTAAAAGCAGAGTGTAGGGTTTGAAGAACAGTAGTCATGAACGAATGGGCCATATGTAAAATTCCTTTTTGATTGCTGTAGAGATCTGAGTGTTTCTCCAGTACTGATCACTGTTAATTGGTATTTTTATAGGGCCAGCTTACACTGACCTATCATGGCATCCAACAAATTTGTCATTAAGGTAAGTAGAATGTCATAGCTTTAAAAAAAATAATAAATCTGTCATACTGCTTAGAATGTGTCTGTTGATACTAAAAGTGCTTCCTTCAGGCTTCTGGTCATGGTAGCATACTTTATATGAGCTTTTCTCTCCCTCTGGAAGCAAACTCGGAATTGCTGCTGTATCATGGCAGAGTGTATCTGGGGTCAGCTGAGGATTAAAAGGCTGTAACTAAAAGTGATTAGTTGTGCAGCGAGAAACTGCATGAATTCTCAGTAAAACATTATTTGCTACCTGAAGTAAAATTTTGGGTGGATTCTTTTCGTACTGTAATCTTGTAATGCTCTTTATGTACTTCCCAGGTTTCAGGGTTCCTGGTTTAAGGTGTAGCAATGTTCTTGAAGTATTATTTATTTGTCTCTTTTTTTGCCTCTTTTTCCATTTTCAGGGATTGGTTGTTTCACGTGCAATAAAGTGCTATTGAAGTTCATTTTGCAAACAGTCCCAGACTTCTAGTTATGTGCTGAAAAGCAAAACTTTTCAAAACATTCTGTAATCAACATAACACTTCATAATTCTACTACTGTGACTATACCAGCTAATCAATAAGTAAACCTAATTGTGATTAGCGCAACATATTATTCTCTTGGAAGTGTTTTTCCAGGAATTTTCATAACACATTTTTCTTCTGTGGGTATGCTTGGAATTTTTTGGAGGGCAGCTACAAAATCCTTCCTGAGTGATCAGGCTGTGGAAGCTGTCAGAGCTTGGTTTTGTGGGTAACCAACCTGTTTAATGAGAAGACCAAGCACTTAATTTTTGTGTGCCGTGTGTTCTTTTCCAAACAAAACCACTGCCATTTAGTGGCATGTTTGCATGATATTTTTACTGTTTAACAGGATTGTAAACCTCCAGAAGTTTAACAGTATCATATTATTCAGTGCTGCTGAGTTGATAGAGGGACTTAGAGGAGAAATGTATTTGATTTTGGGCACATTTTAGCTGACACTCCAACTCTGTGCACCACTGATGTTGATAACAACAGGAGCTGAGGCTGAAGGCATTGCTTTTCTCAGCTGAGAACTCTTGATATCGTCAATATTCATGTAAGTGCCCAATAAAACAAGTGCTGTGAGTTGGAATGTCTTTACTCAATATAGAGCCTGCAGACTCTTGGTTTCTGACCTGCATCATTACAGCTTCATTATGCAGCAAGGATGTGTTACTGATATTCAGCATGGACCTTGCATCCCTGACTGCCCAAGCAGGGCTAGGTTCTCATTGAGCATGTCTGTAGGTGAGCAGCATCACAGATAAAGCTTTTGAGAATGCTGACAAAATACTACTTTTTCTTTCTTACAGTGTTTGAGAAATGAGAGTTAGTTTTTGCATGTACCAAATGCTGAAAATTACCTTGACCTGATTGAAATTCACTTTGTGCACAGATAAACATTTTCCTTGTTCAGTCAGGGACTTTGTATGTCAAATCTTGCTTCTTTAAATTCACTGGATTTGTATTTAGTGTAAATATTTTCTAAGGTTTTTCAGCTTTCACATAAGTTTTGCACAGAAGATCCCCATGCAATAGATTCTCCATTGAAAACTATTCCTACTTGTCTTTGCAGGCAGAGTACAGAAAATACTATATTCTTTACTTTAGATTCCTTGTGTTTAAAGCTGTTTAAAGCTAATGGGAGTATTTTACTGAGTCTGAAAATGTTCAGGACAGCAAGTCCACAGGAGGGACGTGAGGATGGAGCCCCTCTCCTGCAAGGAAAGGCCGAGAGAATTGGGGTTGTTCAGCCTGGAGAGGGCTTCAGGGGGACCTAATTGTGGCCTTCCAGTATCTGAAAGGAGCCTAGAAGGAAGGTGCAAAGGGGCTATTTCCTAGAGCATGTAGTGACAGGAAAAACGGGAACGGGTTTGAACTGGAAGAGAGTAGGTTTAGATTAGATATTCGAAAGAAATTCTTCCTTCTGAGAGTAGTGATACACTGGAACAGGTAGCCAAGAGAAGTTGTGGATGCCCCGTCCCTTGAAGTGTTCAAGGCCACTCAGAGCCCATCGAGTCTGACCTGGTCTAGTGGAGGGTGTCACTGCCCCTGGCAGGACGTTAGAACTGGAGGAGGGATGGGTTCTAAGGTCCCTTTTAACCCAAACCACTCTGATTCCGTGTTTCTGGTGCCTCGCCTCGTCTTCTACATTCTCTGCTTTTAAGTGTTTAGATTTTGTATTGAATCTTTCTGGTAAGAGGCTGAAAAGTGCAGGTTATCAGTCTGTCAAATCTTAGCCGACTATCAAGTAATTAAGTGGAAACCCCCTCTAATTTGTTTAACTTCGCTTCTTACTGATGCGCGTTTTATCTGCGCTTCTCGGCGCCCTGGTGTAATGGTCGGTGACTTCCAGAGGAGGGAGCAATTGGTCTGGTTTTGGGAGGCGAGCCTAAGCTTGGCTTTATGGGCTATTAAGAGCCATTGAAATAAACTAATTGATGCAGTAAAATAACTTTAAACCTTAATACAGAAACTACACTTAGGCCCTGAACACACATTCATCACCTACTAAGCAGCTGGATGATACAGTTTTGTGATTAGCAAAAGATAATATTTATGCAAGTTAATTTGATCATCAGTTTTCTCTTTTATATTGATATTTCATAAGCATTGCATGGTAAAATACCCCCACCATATGAATTTAATTAATCTTTCTCTGTGTGTCGCTAAAATATTTTACTGCTGTTCTGAGGAATAAATCTTAACTTTAATTGGTGAGGCTTAAAGCAAAATCTTGAACTCTATATGGATTTCAAAAATAATATCACTAGGGCCTTGTTTAAAACTTTGGACAAAGTAGAAAGAATTCCTCTTCCAGAATTGTGTAAATTGACTTTATTCATGCCAAGCTGCAGAACTAAATATAGTAATTTTTATGGCTTCAATAGAAAAATTTCATTTACTGTTTTCTGCAATTTGTTCATTTTCCAAAGACAGAAGAGTAGCTTGTTACTACATTTCAATAGCTCAGCTCAAAGGGGAGCTTTTTTTTTTTTGCTTTGTTTCCTACTTGGAGCACTGTTCTGTCTCAGATTTGGAGGCCTTAGATTAAGCTAATTGTAGTTTTAGTGTTCCCTCTGGTCATCCAGCTCACTCTGCAATTGATTTTTCAGCATTGTTTCTCCTTTTTACCAATTTAAATTATTGCATGCTGGACATTTATGTAACTTTTTTGATCCTTCCTACTAATTTTTTGCTTGCTTTATGTGGCAAGTTTATTTGAAACAGCAAGCACAGCTTTTTGTTTTATATTGGGAACAAAGATGGAAATGCTGGGTATCATTGGACAGGAAAATGACATTGGGATTGTAATATGATCTGTTGTGTACTTTCTTTTTTTACAGTGGTGTATCTTAATGTAATCATTAAGACACTGACTTACAACCAAAGGCATCCTAACATCTGTCTTTTGAACCTTAGGAGTGGTCCATGAAAGAAAGTGTGTGTAGCAAGAACATTGATTATAGGCTGGAACAGCAGGCAGAAGGAAGTGGAAAGCCATGTTCCTGTCAGACAGTGTCCCAGTATGGATTGACAGCCCTGGCTGGGCCATGTTAGGGTCTGCTCACACACCTGTGCATTGTCTTGGGTGTGGAATAACAGGACGAGAATTAGTTGTGATATTTGTAATGTTTTCTTTTTTTTGGCTACCACTTGAAATGTAATACGAAGATTTCTCCACCAGTTGTGCCCATCTGGATGGTTCTTAGGTGACATCTCAGAGGCTTGACAGACTGAAGTGCACATTTCTGTGAAAGTGTCCATTGAGTTAGCTGCTCAATATTCCTGTAAATATACAGCTAAGCCATAATATTTTTGTGAGTAATCGACGTGTTTTCTTCTTCTTGGGAGTTGTTTGGAGAGAAAAAAAACTATGGAGATGAGTAGGTTTTCTTACCTGATTTTTTATTTATCTCTGATCCCATACTCCCACTAGTGAGTGATGAAGGATAACAGATGTGTTTATGTAGTTTACATATTATATTAAGTCCACAAATACGAGTGCAGTGCTCTCAAGTGGAGAGCAAGGGTAAGGAATGCTGTTTGTATTTAAAGTAAATTTTTATATAAAGTGACTGCTCAGAGTTATGAGACTGATTCTACCGCTGCTTTTTTGTGTACATAGTTGTGAGCATGTTAGCATTCTGAGTTTTGGGTTGAGAATTAGTCTTTTTTTTAGAGAGTACTTAGTTAAATTAACCAATAAATACAGTATTTCTGGTGTCCATTTCTTTTCCACTTCACTGCAAAATGAAGATATTTTGTATGCGAAATTCCTGTGGTTGGAGTACTCAAGTGTTTCAATAGAAACATGCTAAGGTTAGGTTTCTGTGATTTAAATAGAATTTTCTAAAGTATTCTAAATCTAAAACCAAGGTGCTGGTGTTCTCCAAACAGATTAAGGGTTGTAAGAGTTTTACATGTGTTGTGTGTTCTTATATTTGCTGTTTGGGTCTTTAAAAATTAAGAAATGGTTATGTTAACCATTAAATAATGGTTTTCTAGAGATAGAACTTTCCTGAGGTGGTATATTGCTCAGAGCAGCTGGAAATACGGGTGGTTGAAATTGGTATTGTCAAGTAGCATCACACTTCGCTCAGCTGTCATTTTTGTTTCTATATAAAAGATAAAATAGGATACTTGTCTAAAAGGGCTTAGAATTCTTAAAGAAGATGATGAAAAGGGGGCAGGAGGGAATGTGATTTAAAATAGGAAGTGCAAACAATAATAATGGCTGGAGGGACATCTATTTAGTTCTCTTTCTCAATGCTCCAGTAAATTCCCAATTTCATGGGACCAGATATGAAACGGCTAAAGTGGTGAGTAAATAAGTTCCAGAAGAAACAAAAGAGGATGTTGGGAGGTAGAAGGGGGAAGAAAATTAAGTGTACAATATAATTCTAAATCTCCTGGAGTCAATGGAAGTTTCCTCACTGACCTCAGAGGATTAATTTTCAAGCCTAGGGAA